CCTCCACTGCCCCGCCACACGCCACATGGCGGCGGCTGCGACTGATTCAGCGCTGACCCACGGCACGGCGTGTCGTGTTGTGAAGTGCGAAGCGCTTCTGCGAGAGGAGGGGGGGGGGGGCTAATCCAGTTTGATGCAGTAGGCAAAAGGGGATGATTCACTCTTTTACACGTCGGGGATTTGAGGGAAAGAAGACATTAACCATCCACTGGTACCTAAGAAAGACAACTGGGTCGGAAGCAGGTCGGACACAAATTTTCACTATCTTCGGGGGACAGTCATTTTACTGACAGGCCGTACAATAACAGGTCGGACAAACAAGCTGATTTCCGGCACACGGTGTAACTATAAAGATACAACTTTGTAGCTACAAACCGGGACGTAATGCGCGACTCCCTGCAACCAATTTTCAAGTCAATAAAATCCCCCATAAAATAGACCCGTGACAGCCCCACGCAACAAGGAGGACACAACGTGACGGAGGTAGGCGTGACAACGAGCTCTGTGTGACGAAAAGGGGGGGGGGGCTGCGTTATCCATTAGAGGTTGTAAGCGATGACGACCAGAGACAGCGAACGGGCTCACTCACGCAGTCTCCAAAAATTGATGTCGGAAACATGTCAATTCGATGTACCCTCGCCTCGCAATGAACGTCTGGGGCAACAGTATGATTAGCGCCTGCAAACGCCTGGGTAGGCAAACCCGCCGGACAGGTCAGCGGACACGGCGGGCTGCTTATTTTGGCCTGCCGCCTGCCAGGCCTGCCCTGGCGGCGCCCAGGGGCTGGGCTGGTACTACAGGGAACAGACACCGCCGATGCGCGCAATCTTGTATAGATTTGCAATCGGACGTTGACATTGCCGCGACATTTTTGCAGCCACGACTCATCTAAGGACCTCCTGTGCCGGCGCCATCCGCCGCCCGCCGGCGGGGCGGCCGACACGACGGGCTCGCCCCGCTGCGCCTGTCTGCGAGCAAGCGATCTCCGAACACCCCCCCCCCCTAAAAACTCTTGATGATGCGTCACTTCCGATCCTAGCACGGCAATATTTTCCCCCGTTGAATGTTGTGGACATACAATGAGCAGAAAATAAGGCGTCAAACACGAAAGGTAAAGAAATTAAACACAATTAAAAACTTTTCTATGAAATTACTGCGTCGATCTTTATTATTAATCCAGATGCACGACAAGTCTGATTGTTAAGTAGGAAATGTAAATGTTACGGCCATACTACATACAGGCACCTTGCTTTCCTCACAGCCTCTGCAAGCTGTAAAGTAAGGATGACCCATAAAAATATTGAATTTTGGACTACCCCAGAAAAAAAAAGGGTGGAAGATAACTACACAACACATACCAAACAAAATACAGGCAATAATTATCAGTACGTTCCCATGATCTTTCATAAGCAATAATGATATGAACATTGGTTCTTGAAATTAATCTTGCTTTTCATGGTCATTCTTATCTAGATAAAAAACAAACAAAAAAACAATAAAAACAAGAGAAAAAAATGGGCTGGGTTTAGTGATCACAGGACATTTTAATCAAAAATCATACATTGAAACTAATTAATTTACATCCACCACAGAAAGCAAACATCACACAATGTCAATTGTACTTGGTTTATCCCAAGCAATCAGTAAAAGGGTTAGTTGGACAATGCTTTCATCAGAGTGGAATATATAACAATGGACAGAAATATAGAAAATTTGACAATTTGTTGAATAGTTCACCTAGACATAAATAAATTGGTGGCTACACTACTGAACCACCATAGAAGTATATGTACAGTTGTTTGAAATTTATTACAATACATATGTACAAATTTATGCAGGTGTGTGCAAACAGATTTGGATCAATTTCTCCAGTCAAAAAGAGTACAAACACTTATATTAACTTAACATGAAAGTAAGAACCATAGTTGGAAAGATGATGACTAAGAATGACTTGACACCCTCTATTTCTGCACAATACTAAAGCATGTTCAAATATTTACACTTTTCTTTAAACGATCTATCTATTAATATGCATTTATAGTTAGAAACACATACACACAAATCCTCTCCTGTTCTTTCATACAGAGACCCACCAGCAAAAAACAAGTCAGTAAAGACACAAGATCATTATTAGAACAGGAATATCACCGAACCATTACACTGATAAACATATGGAAATCTACTTCATGAGTGCAAAGATAAAAATAAAACAATAACAAAATTTTGAAGTCAAACCTTTTATGAAGTTGACACTTAAAATGTACGTTCTCAATAAAAGCTTTGTGTAGAGACTTAACTTATTCAACTTTATGTCTTTGTGTATAAAATGAATAACAAGTGATGAGCTATCAATATGTTTGCAGTGATACATTTTAATTTTGCATTTTCAATTATATAGAATTCTTTGGAGTAACTAATTGCTTTGAACATTTTAATAAATTACAACAATAAATGCAAATTATTTTCAAAGAATACAAGTTATCACTCAAATATCACTGTCTGGTTATGAATGATTACTCACAGAACAAGGCAAATCACTTTTTTCTTACTCTGAAGAGAACCATGAGAGCTTATAACAGGAAAAATGCAACTACTTATTTACATAACCATTTAGTCAACAAATGTGAGTTTCTAGAAAAAAATGCCACAGCATGGAGATCTATTCACAAACTTTAGAAACAATTTTTTCCATCTCCATATCAGTATCAACATCACTCTGTTCAAATGGAGCAGAAGGTCCAGCTTGTTGAGAGGGTCCTGCCACAGGTGTGGGGTGAGGGGTGAGTGTTGCTGGTGAAATCGCTGCAGGTGACACTGAATTCGTAGGCGTACTTTCATCTTCAGCCTCCAGCTGATCAACCATGTCCTCTTGTCCAGGTGGTGGTTTTAGTTTATTTAACTCCTCTCTCAGTTGCTCAAAGTGACGCTGGAGGAAAAGAAAGGAAAAAATATACATATGTGGCATAGGTATACAGCAAATGATACAAAACACAGTTTCTGTAGACTGTAAGTTCTCTTTACAAAAATAATGCAATTGTACCTTGAGAGCAATAGTGTTAAGTGAAATTGTGCGTCCATTTCTTCGGTCATTACCCTGACTTTCCATATCAGTTATCCATTGTTGAATTTGTTTGATTATTTCTCGTTTTTTAAACCAGAAATGAGTATGTATTACCTGTAAAAGCACCACAATAAATCAATTAGTAGTGATGGTTGTAAGCAACACACACATTGGGTTTTAAAAAGTGTTCAAGTAATCACCTCCTTGAAGCACGGACAGGGGTTGCGGACTTGCTCTAGCATGGCCCATTTAACAGATGCAGTACAAATGTTTGCATTATACTCTCTTGAACTTTGATTACCAGATGGAGTTCCTCTGGATCTTTCATAACCAGGTTCATTGAAATACGGTTCAGGCACCAAAATCAGTGATTGAATTGACACCAAGACCTAAATGGAAAGTTTTTGGTTAAAATATGAAGAATAAAACGAATTCACCCCTTACCAAAACGACAATTTCCAAAAACCCAAAAGTCATTCTTTACCTGAAGGAAGCTTGAGGTCTGAGCGTTCCACTTTTCTTCAGGACGGCCATGCCATGTATTAAGGACACTTAAACAAACTTTACCATCATTGTACAGATTAGGGTTGAATCTGATGGTATGGTGTCCTGTAGTTTCCATATTAATAAGCATTGGTGAATTAGGGTAGTCAGGTGGGAAATAAACATCAAACTCAAAGCATCCATTAGCGTATGGAGTATCCGCAGGACCAGTAATCAACACCTAAAAAGTAAAATGTGTATTTAACAGATGTCAAAATAGATAAGATAGATTTTAAATTTCAAAAAAACAACAAAAACCATACCTTCATAATATCAAGTCTATCTGCATCACATCTCACATACACTGAACTACTATATGACAGAGGTAGAGAAGTAGACAAGGTAACTGTTTCTTGAGCCAGCCTTTTTACTCTTGCGGGGTGGCAACGTTCTCCAGCTGATCTCAAATTAGACTCAAAGTGGTAAGACACGGCAAACTGATAGCCACCTTCACTATTCTCAGTAATCATTTCAAAGGTATCAAACTGTAGCTTTTGCATAACTTCCAAATAACGATCTTCAAGAGATCGTTTGATAGGATATTCAATCAGAGCTGACCCAGAAGCAGAGAGTGGTCCACGGCTTGCTGCCTCAGCGTCATCATCCAATAAAAGTCGATCTGTTGCAATCTAAAAGTAACAAAAAAAAATTATGATAATAAATAGTAATAATGAAAGTACCAAATTATAAGCAGTGTGTCCATTCAGGTAAAAAAAAAAACACCAGTTGGGTATTGTTTGTGGGGTACAAACAGCTTTGAATCTACCAACCTGCACCATGCTGGCCGTGTGTTGGATGTCGGCAATGAGCTGAGCCAGCCCTTCGTCCTGCTCCCAATCCTCGACAAACTTGTTCGGGAGCCTCGAGGAGGAGCCCGCGGAGCCCGCGGCGGCACTGCTGCTCTTGCGACTGCCCTTGGTCCGGTTCAACCTCAGCCGAGACGCGTACGTGTCCACGCAGCTCTTCATCTTGGTCAGCAAGCAGATGGCAGACAGCGAGTCGCCGCGGCCCGCGGACCTGGCGCCGCCGGTGGGCCTGTGTCGCAGGCGAGGGCGGCGGTCCGAGGGCAGCAACAGCGGGGCCAGCTGCGGGCAGACCGCCAGTGCTCGCAACACCTGCAGCACGGCCCGGTAGAGCGGGATGTGGCGAGCCATGTCCAGCACTGAAAGCAAAGTTCAATGGTATGTTAGCCTCCAGTACCACATTGATCACCGGCCTGAAAGAGGGCCCACCCCACAACACCCCAGAATGGATGTTACCCAAACCCAACGCGACACGAACGTTCGGCGCCCGAGAGGGCGGACCGCCGACTCTACGCGACTGCTTGGCGGGTTGGCCTACCAAGTGCATTGCATGCGTTATCAATAGTATAGCCTGACAAGTGGGCTTTGTACTTGCTACCCCTCAGAACGATGGACTTTCTCCGCCGAGGCTCACCCCTCAGTAAGCGATGACGAAATCAAAACATCTCACATGTGCCGTCAACAAACCCGAAGGATTTCCCCAGGGAAGGCCCATTCAACATTCATTCAACCCTCAGAGTTGTTCGTCGACTAAATCATCTCAGATAACTCACCCGAGTCATTGCGCAGGTACGAGCAGACTGCGGGAAGCAGGCACGACTTGTGCAGCAGAGGCGACAGCTGCTGGGGCAGGCGCGGCAGGCGCGACTGTGGCTGCCCGTCCGAGTCGGAGTCCTCCTCGCTGAGCGGCTCCGGCTCGTGGAAGCGCTGCGGTATCAGGTCGCGGGGGTTGAGGAAGCTCGAGAGGGCCTGCATGAGCACCGTCACGTGCTCCTCCTCGCTGCGCTGGCGCATCAGGGCTTGCTCCACGTTCCAGCACTGCGCCGTGCTGCCCGTGCCGAAGCCCGTGCCCTTGGCCCAGTACAGCTGAGACTTGTCGTCCGACTTGGTGGCGGGCTTGGTGGACTCCTTGGCGCCACCGGCCGTGCCGGCCTTGGTGGCGGCGATCACCAGCTCGTGCTGCACGCCGGGCAGGTGGATGTCCTGCTGCTGGTGCGTGAAGACGGACAGGCAGGCGAGCAGCAGGTGCACTGCGCCAGTGTCCATGGCCGTGCGCCGCAGCAGCTCGCCGTCGTCCGTGTGCAGGGGCGTGGCGTCCAGCAGCTGCCGCAGGATCTGGAACGGCAGCGTGGGCAGCACCGAGGCCAGCGGCAGGCTCAGGATGTCGCCGCCCTCGCCGTCGTCGCTCACGCCGAGAGCCAGACGCAGCAAACACTGGGCCTTCTTGGGGTCGCGGAGGAGTATCTCGGCGTAGCCCGGCAGCCTCAGGAATAGACCGAAGGCAGCCAAGGAATGGGGCGGGACGGATGTCGGGACCAAGTTTGCACCAGACGCCCTCTGATTGGTGTGAGGGGAAATTGGTGTGGATGAGCCAACCAATAAAGAGGAGTCGTCCAGCTCCTAAAATAAATAATAAATTGATAAGTATTTCAAATTTTAAGTTTCTGAAACAGACAGTTATTGTTCGGGCCGTTACTCTTACCTCATACAAATCAATGTTGGTGCCATCAACTTTAACCCAATCAGAATCCATCGCATCAGGGGATGTTGCAGTTTGCTGAGGCTTTTCTTGGGTATTATACCTTAATGTCTCTGGGTAGACCAGGGGCAAGTGTTCAGCAAGAAGTGCCAATCCTCCATGATTGGCAAATACCTCCAATGGTGTGGGGTATGGAACCAATTTGAACAGTATCTGCCCAGCTGGGTGATCTGAAGTTAATAGATGTGTTTAAAAAATGCCATGGGACTTGAAATCCAACATACCAGAGAAACTCATTTGGACAAATGCAGGCCTACCTCTGGGAGGTGATGTGCTCTGTTTCAAAGTAACCTCAAAACTAGCAGAACAAACAGAAATACCCCGGTCCTGTAGACCTAAGAGAACTTGCCCAACAGTGAGGGTTCCTGGAAGAGGAGCACCTGGAGGCAGTAACTGTGGCTGTTCCAACCACCTTTCTGGAGACAGCCCAAGACTTGCAGACAAAGAGCTGCCACCACCTGAGTCTATACAAATTAAGAATACATCCATCTTACAAAGTTCAGACAAAAGCTTTAGGTGATTATAAAAGTATCAATAAGATGCCTACCGCTGATCCTTGTTTTTTTGGCATAAGGTCCGCGGGTTGCTGCATTTTTGGCTTCTTTAGAACGTTTGTCTTTGGCAGTGAAACCAGCAGCAAACAGCGGATCCGAATAACAAAGGTATTCAAAGTCTTTGAATGTTCGCATTTGAGCTTTGTTAATACCACTAGCAGCAGAAGAACTGCTTGGGTCAGGTTGAGTTTTTTCACCCAACAATGGCCCTAAGGTGTTATTGCCTAAATTAGAGGGAAGATGGTTAGTTTAGGCAGAGTAAATATACTACAAATAGAAGTAATGAACTTGTCATGTACGTACCAGCAAGAAGCTTAGTTAGTTCAGCACATGTTGTGTAATGACTCACAATGACAACCTGACTTCGGTGTCCAACACCATGACTAGGGTGGCGCAAACCAACAGCATTACCAACACCGTCAGGGCGTTGCAAGGGAACTTCTGAGTTGACTAAAACACGTATCTTTTCACTTTCAAGAAGAAGTTGCAAAACCAAACGCCGTGCAAATCCAGATATACCATGAAGGAAAGAAACATCTGAAATAAAGGAATAACACACAAATTACTCAAATAGATGATGATAAAAAATACAGAGTACTTGAACATTACTTGACAATGATAACTCACTGTGATGACGAGCTTCCTGTTGGCTAATGACATCACACAAAACCCTAGCCAGTTGCTCTTGATTATCAGGATGTAGACTAGTAACACGTGTAAGAAATTGGATAGTGGCAGTTTCCAGTTCTCCATATGCCTGACTTTGAGGTTGCAAGCTACTTGTTTGCTTAGTACTACGGTAGCACAATAGCCTTAATAACGGAAGCCAGAAAACTGATCCATCAGGAGATCCAAACCAATTTCGAAGCTCTCCCTCATAACAAAGTTCTGCAAACAGTTTCAATATGCTTGCCATAGTGATCACTGCAAACAAGAAGAAAGAAGTTACTGTAAGAATTCTACTATACCATTAAGTATATGGATAATGTAATGGGATCATCATCATAGTTAGATGGATGGAATATAAGAACAAACCTGACAAAAGGCTATCATCATTTTTTTCATCCACAGCCTTGTCTGCATCGGTGAGGAGTGATGTCTGCACATCAACTTTGCGTAAGAGATATTCTTTCTCTTGAGCATGAACACAGAAATCCAACAAGCTGCTTGATAAGAAACTCAGCAGACCAGATCCTAGCAAATGTTTCACAGCAGGAGGTGATTGAGACACCATGGCAATGGTCATAAGTTGCCCCTCAGATAGATGGATGTTACTAGACCAAGCATCCAACTGCTTTCTGTCATCTGTCATGGCTCCACCCTCATCATGATCCATATCCTTAGTATCATCTGATACAGATGCATTTACATTGTTGCCTGGTGCAACTGCCCCAATTGTTCGCAGTAATGCAGGGAACAGTTCAGGTTGAATGTAGCACATGGAGCATAAAATAGCATCCAGTGCAGCCTTCACTCCACTTTTAACTGGGAGAAGTAGAGTCCACTGATAAACGTCAGTGAATAATTGAGGTGAGAGAAGCACAGAGAGATCATAGCCGGCTCCGCAAGTGTGCAACCGCCACAATACGGCAGCAATGCTGTGAATGCAAGCAGCACTCGCGGGAATGTCACTGGCCCAACAAGGTGAGCTCTTGGATGTGCCAGGGTGTGGTTCTAAAGCTGCAGATGCAGTTTCTTGGAGCCAGGACAACATAGTTGCTACTCGTGCACTCGAATGTTCATCTTGTTCAGTTCCCAGGAGAAAGAGAAGATCGACAACTGAATCAGCGCCCATGGGAGGTGACATACTCAACTGAGAGTGGAGTGATGAGCGCAACAAATCCTGCAGGAGCTTCAGGCCAAGTTCTTGTGAGTGCAGGCCCAAATGTAGTAAAACATGCTCTAGAGCAGTTGTCATAAGAGGTGGAGCAGGAGCCGGTATCAGCAATAAACCAGCACACGCATCCAATAGCCCTGGTAAAGCAGCAGCTGATGCAACCACAGAATTTCGCAGATCCACACGATTTTTTGACACAACTAGGCAATGATGTAGAAGTCGAAGCCACCCCAAGCTGCAATATAATTTTAAAATTAGACAGAAATTTAAAACAT